AGTGGGAGTGTAAACATTTCTGGACGGGCCGCTGATTAAACTCAAGACTGAGCGCTGGGGTGCTCTGTAGGAAGATACACGGCATCCAGAGTGAGCGGCTCGTGGACTTGCTGTGTTTGGTAATGCGTCGGGGGGGAGTGTGTGCTGAGGAAACAGAGCAGAGATGAGCCTCAGACAAGCTCCAGGCCTGTTTATAGTAAACTGCTGAGTGGCGTACACTGTGTCTGCAGCTCACCGGGGACTCGCAGGACTCACTGGTGTAAGCAAAGGTCATGAGCGCGCAGAAATACGTAAAGACACTGTGCACTAGAGCCCGTGGGATACATCAAGTGTATATATGGGAACAGAGGAGAGCGCATGGAGAATGCAAATAGCAGCTTTTAGTTCTTCTACACTGAGGGAAATGTGCCGGCTGACTTACTTCTCTTGATGTTTTCTGGAACTACATGCACATATAAAATTAGATGTGCTGTAAGTATTTTACATGGTGGCGGGTGAATAGAATAAAATCCCATATCCCGGTATGCAGGGCTTCTGCAGCTGACTGTGGCTGATTGTGTTTCGCTCTACGGTTCTCAACTTGTTAAAAGTCAAAGTTTTTTTTTTGTTTTTTTTATCTCCCGTGCTTCTCTATTTAATTACTGCAAAGCGATGTGGATGATAATCAATCACCCGCCGAGCTGAATCAGACAGATCCTCATTATTAATGGAGTTACTAGATCATAGTTGAAACAGTTGCCTCGCTCATTAAATACCCTGCGTGGCATTTACTCTGTGATGTTGGGCCAAGGCTCCTTTCCTTTCTTTCTTTGTATGTTACAGAATATTCTATGTTAAAGTCTAATGCTTTAAAAATGTAATAACCTCTTCTGCCGTTTGTAGAGATGCTTGTTTTTTCAGAGATGTTGTGGCACCCTTAACTTTAAAACATTGCAGGAAACCATGGTGTATGTAAAATTACAATGTGATGCTTGATAAATAGTGTTGAGGTTTTCTAGCTGGGCAGCATTACAGTGACTCCAAACATACAGACACAGTCATGAAGTGACAGGAAGAACCAGGGGGACACATCATTGCAACAAAATACGGCAGGTTTTTATTCCCAGAGTGTTCTCCTGGAAGCAGAATACCTAATAAAATTGTACCAAAACCTTTAAGCTAAAGTTAAATCAAAAGGTCTGTTTGCGATGCTTGTTGTGCGATACAGTAACACACTGTGTAGAGGTTATGTGAGCTGATGCTGTACAAGCAGGGGAATTCAGTGATGTCATGTTAGCAACCTTCTTCTTCTTCGTCTATTTGTCCAGCTTGTTGTGTTTTTTCAGGTGATTGAACAAGTTAGTTGTGTTGCTTTGCAGCACAGATACAACCATCATATGATTTGTTCCTGCTTAACTTGCCCTAAATCCAAAATACTTGTAAACAACGCATCTCATTCAGTTTTGAGCTCCTCACTTTCTGCTCCAGACGTCGGATGTTTGATTTGTTCGTCTGCTCTCTGTTGTATATCTCTCTTCTTCTCTGGACTGCAGTCACAACATCCAGGGTGTATTTGTACAGCTTGCCGCTGCAGGGGGGTTATGCTTCATGGTGGGACGGCTCCCCACAGGTGAAGTCAAAACATCTGAAGTTTTCTGAGCAGAGCGCCCCGTTTTAAACATCCAGTCGATCATGTTCATTTATTTGCAGAACGCCAAAATTGCGATGGAGATAAATATTTGATTAACTGCACGGCGCTATCATGGAGTCAGTGTGGAATTACACACAAAGACATTAGACACTGAGACGATACAAACCCTCAGAGGAACTGTGGCAAGTTCTTCAAAATGCTCGTCACCTAACAGCCAAGTCCTTTGAAAAACTGCACACATGTGTACCAAAGACTGCAGATACTATTTTAAAGAAAGAGACAGCTCACACTGAACATTTGATTTTGCACTTTTGTGATATATATTTTTGAACAAAACATGTATTCTATAATGACTGAATGCAAACCAGAAGTGAAGGTTTATGCTCTGGCTAACCCAATCAATGAAATGCCTGACAAGACAACACAAAAATGCAAACATCAAACATTGCTTGAGCTCAGTCTTGATCACTGATTTGCAACATAGCCTGGAATAAGCGCCGTACCGGGGTCTCTAATGCAGCGGTCTTCAACCTTTTTTGCACCACGGACCGGTTTTAAGCAAGAAATTTTTCTACGGACCGGTCATTACGCACATAACAAATAATAATTGTTTTTTTTCTATTGAAAAGTTTCATAGATAAATAAAATAAATTTTTATTGCTTAACATGTTTACTTTTTCTTCTGTCTCAACATCGAGCCTCTCCCACTTTCCAAAGCAGCTCTCCTGAGATGTTTGTTGTTGACTGATGGCTTCGTTTAGCAGCCGGGCATAAAAACTGACAGTCAAGTGCGGGAAACGAACACAAACGGAAGTGACGGGAAGACGAGCTAGTCATTTTTCAAAACAAAACACCCTGCAGACTCCGCTGGAAATAAAAATAAACCAATTGAACGTTTTTATTCTATCTGTGCGGCCCGGTACCAAATGACCCACGGCCCGGCACCGGTCCGCGGCCTGGTGGTTGGGGACCGCTGCTCTAATGTGACTTTCTGCAGTACTGCACTTTCAGAAGGTTGATGTTCTCACAAGAGAGAGATTTATAAAGGCTGCTCCGGTGAAAGTCGATTTTGTTTCCCTAGTTATCTTGTCCACGTGCTGTTTTTACATGCTAGACAGCATGTCATGAGTGAAATAAGCACTGAGTTGTACTGACGACAGCCTCAAAAACACGGATTCAGACTTCCAGAGTTTCTTTCATAACAAACTAATCCTGTCAGCTTGAGGAGTGGAACCTTCTGTAGCATTATTCTTTCTCAGAATCACTTTTCAGTTCAAACATGTGTGGCTGAATTACTCCAGTGTGTGGTGTCGAGTACTTTTACATTGTCTGAGCAGAGATGTCGGTGAGCTGGTGTGCTTGAGCTGCAACTAGTAGTAGTAGTAGGAGGGTAGGTTTAGAGAGAGGGCTTTAAAGATTCTAGAGGAAATAGGAGTGTCAAGTTACATCTCTGACATTTTGAGGCAGGAAGGGATTATTTTCATGGAGGAAACTTCTAAATGTGTAACTCTGATACTCGGAGATGAGTTTTAAAGGTTTAATCAATGCAAAAGCAGCAGGCTGACTTCATTCCTTGTTATGGGTGAGGCTCAAGAAACACTGCGCTCTGTGTTTCCCATAATGCAACACAATATAATTTCTAATGAGATGCAAATCTAAATGGCAATTTCCTTGAAACTGCATGTCTCCATTTTGTGAAGCAAACTTAAGAGTTAACAGCTTGAAGTCTAGCTTGAGATAGACCTGATAGCATCATAATGGTTGCTTTTATCAGCTTCTAAAGTGACATAACACATTGTGCAGCTGAACTTCATGTGTAAAAAGGGATGAGGAACGCTGTACAGCAGGAACTGACAGTTAGCATCAGATCATTTCAGCCGTGATGAGCTCCTCACGCCGGCGCTTCAGCTCACTTCAAACCGTACAACTGAGAACAGATGTGTTTGCAAATGATCCTTATTGTTGGCCTCGGCTTCCTCGGAGCACCGGATGGTTTGCATGCAGAATTGATTTATCCCGTCAGGAAGCCGAGTGTCAGGTAAGCTGTCAGTCCCTGGAAAGTTACTTATCTGAGTGTGCTGTCGAAACACTCCATCATCCCACGTGACAGTCTGCAGCCCTCCAGCTCTCGAAGAAACAGCTGCCGAGAATGATTTGAAATTCCAGCACGAGCCAGGTCTGTGAAATACTGTACTCATTTGGAAGTAAGAGGATGAGCAGCTCATAAATTTTTGAATTATATCTACTTGACCCAATCCAGTGAGGCGTAGTTGAGTCATCTACAGCACGAGCACAGGCGTGAAGATTTGTACGCTGTTTTCATCATCTGCTCCAATACAGAATAAAGTCAGTACATCTAAAATTCATTATGCCGACAACACAAAGATGACACCCCTGCCTGGCTGATCTGTTTGAAGAAGTTCTGCTCATTTCCAAAGCCAATCCAAGTAATCTGTTTGCATGAGAAAGACTTGTCTGTGGAATTATAGCAGTTTGATGGTGTTGGACTGCATTTGTGGGCGTTTGGGACAGAAATGGGCTCACTGAAGTCATCAGAGTGAAAGACTGTCGTGCCAGCGCTCACTTGTCCCATTACAGCTATCACTGGCACAGTTGGATGTTATATCCATTTTGCTTTGGTTTCAGAGATACGGACAGCAAACCTCCAAGACAAGAAAATGAGACTGATTCACTCAGTCTGAGTTGGTCTGGTTGAGTCATATCTAATCACTGGAGATCCATTGATCCCTCGTGTCTTCCAGCTCGCAGCAGAAAACTATGTGCCGTCAGTAGAAGTGAGATGGATCATGAATATTCATATGCGAGCGACTCAGACACTCTGTCGAGAAGGGTTTATCTTTGCTGGGGACAAGGGAGCGCCTGATCTGGCACACAAAGGGCAGCCCTGCGTCAGTGAATTAGCCATTTACACCACACAAACATCGGAGATGGCAGCATGTCTGGTTTTCAGTGTCTTGTGGCGATGCCTTGTGCTCAGCTCGCCTTAAAGGACTGCCAATGTGAAATAATCCCTAACTGTTTCTGTCAGAAAGGGCAAAGCTAAAAAGAGAAAAACTCTCACATGAACGTCATCGTCTTCGCATTCTTTATCGGAGTCAGTTCCAAGTGCGGCTCTTTTATGCGTCTCATTTCTCTCATAACTTCCACATCGTTCGTATAAAACAGCCAAGGTACAAGCCTTGGTACGGTGTAAACCTAACTCTCCAGTGAGGAGTAAAAGTCTCTCTGCTCATTTTTCACGCTTTAATAATTGATGAATAATAATTTCTTAGATGTTAAGAAATGGAAATTAGTCATGTCTGCTCTTGTGACCCCGAGCCTTAACCGTGACTGTTCCGTCTTCTCCCAGGAGGACTACGACCGCCTGAGGCCGTTGTCCTACCCGATGACCGATGTCTTCCTCATCTGCTTCTCCGTGGTCAACCCTGCCAGTTTCCAGAATGTGCGTGAGGAGTGGGTGCCCGAGTTGCAGGAGTATGCACCCAGTGTTCCCTACCTGCTCATTGGCACCCAGGTTAGTTCAGGTCACATCAGTGGTGCTTCACATTCGACTCATATAGATGACTTTATAGGAAACAAATATCAAGCTACAGTTGTCATTTCCAGCACATTAATATGATGTGAATGTTCTTGTGGGTCTGATGTTACTGCAGAGAAAACTCTGTGCTACATACTTTCAGCTGCAGTGTGAATTTAACCACAGAAGGCCACTGAGGCCAACACATTCAGGGACAAATATGCATCGAATCCACCTAAACTGTGTTGCCACGAGCATGTTTCCAAATCCTAAAGGACGTTGCGTAACACAGCCAACACAAATGAATGTCAATGTCTTGCAGTATCAGAAACGCTTACAAAAGAAGTTTCTGAGACAATTCCTTGCCTTACAGCCCACAAACTTTTAGATGATTGTGTGATAGAGTCAGCATAATCGCATATGCTGAGAAAAGCCCAAAACAAAAGACAACTTCACATTCAAAAGGAAGCTCGCAAAGGTGATTAAAGATAAAACAATGAGTCAATTAATCCTAAAGTCAGAAGAATGTATCAGCAACTATTGAGTCTATCATTGGTTGATACCAACAAGGGCTGAAACAACTAGAGGACAGTTACATTTTTCTGACAGATATTGTGGTTTGAAGTCCAGCTTCAGTTCAGTATTCACTGTGTGATAGATTTAGAACATGTGATGGAGTGTTATCACATGAGACGCCATCTAAAGTGTGACTGTTGCACAATGACAGCATGAATTCGTAAAACCACTGACACGTTTCAGCTCAGACGTGTTGCAAAATGTAGAAGTGTCTATTAAATAATGAGACTGAGTTTATGTCGGTCTAACCGCAGCGTGCAGCCTAAACCCACGTACGTTGATCGTTGGGCAACATAAAGCAACAACAATCTGTTGAAATGAAATGAAATGAAATTAAAAGCCTTAGTCTCATTATTTATTAGCCACAACTCGTGTATCCTAAATTGGCACCTTTGTGATTTGCTAATTGCATTGTTTCAAATTCTGATTTCAATTTGAAAGGGATTAATTGTTCAGTCCATGCACTGACTTCTCACATGTGATAATTACATTTTCTCATTTATTATAGACGATGGGAACAGAATGTCTTTGGTAGGTCAAGCAAAGACAGATATTGTCACCTTGAGCTATGGCACAATCTGAAGGGTACTTTTCATTATTGTCTGACATTTTAGAGATAAAATGATTGATTGGTTAATTGATTAAGTAAGAAAATATTCAACATCCTGTTTAAAAAACAACTTTAATTGCAGCCCTAACGATCACTCTCCCTGTGCTAAAGTGTCACTGAGGACATCAGGCAGGTCATGACAAAACATTTCAGCGCAGCTTCACATCAAACAGCAGCAGCTGACTGGTGGAGGCACAAAGTGGGATTGAAAGGAAAGGTGTCTAGAGCGTACGCGCCATGAATGCAACTGGACCTGCATTCAGCATCCAGAGATTATTTTAGGAGAGAGAACTCAGAGGTGGGCAGAGCTGTCACATTTAAAAGTACAAGTGTTGATTCAAGAAGGCAGTAGAAGGTAGTATGGAGGCAGCAGACATCAGAAACAGGCCCAGCGGGAAGCATATAAGGATAAAATGGGCTTTCAACTCATAGTGTAGCAAACTGCATTTGAAGCTAGGTTTACTTCTTCTTTCCTGAATGTATGCGTCGATTTGGTTGCTGTGTTCGCAGTAAAAACAGTGTTATGATCCACAAAACCTCCAGAAAACATTGTTTTCAGTTGAATAATGATCATGTGCTGTGTTTTGTTGTTTTCGTTTACTTGTGTGCTGCGATGGAAAATTGAAATAGTAAAACTGGTACTTGTACTACCAAAATAACTGGTACTACTACTGCGACTACCACGATGACACTAATTAGAGCCTGACCACTATGGGATTTTGGGCCCGTTGACAATATCGATTTTAAGTTAGTGAAAAGATTGATTTGCGATTGATACACTCGTATTAGCTCATATCCTCCATACATGTACAAAACAGATCGCAGGTTAGAGTTACACTGAAAGGGCAAATAGTGCTGTCCTTGTTGAATAACCTCCAGCAGTGCCTTTCACTAATTGGTTTGCAGCTTATTGTGAAGACGCCTCTTGACTCTGCACCGCCATCTGCCCCGTGTAGTCTTCTACGTGTCTTGTAAACAACGGAGCTGGAGCTGTCCTGTTGGACAGATTGTATGATAACACCATTTATACTAAATAACTCCAAAAATCCAATGTATCTACATTGTGATATGGGGGAAAAAAAATAGAATTCAGTTGTTAGTTTGGGTAATATTGGTCAATAATATCAGCTGATCAGTGTATTAGTGGCGCTGTAATGCTAATAAATTCTCTGGGTAATGAAACTTGTGACATATTATCACCTCACAAAGCTGAAGGTCAATGTGTGAGCCAACAGTTAGCTGTTTACACATTCTGCAGGAATAGAACGCCATTAGCATTTAATTGGGGTTGTTCTTCTTGCTAGCTTATGACGGTAAGTGCAATATTCGTTCTACCTTTGGTGTTGATTTGTTCTCCACGAACTCCTGAGGGAAGTATTTGCAAGAGTGCGGTGATTTTACAGGGTGAAAATAGCTGCCTGAAGACGGAGTTGATGAGAGCTGAGAGACTGAATCAAAACCGTGAAGCTGTCGGCTTGTAAATCCAAAACACAGACCTGAAAGAAGCAAACGTACGGGCACTGCAGAGCCAGGCGATAATAACGCTGTGTGAATTCATGACTACAAGAGATCCTCACGAAATTCCAAAGTCATTTTTTATCCGTTGTCAATGTAAAAATATCGATCAGTGCAGCTTTAATTAGATTTAGTCCACCCACTCATGCAGTCTGGAATCCCTGAACCTGAGCCACGGTAGAAATAATCTATTAAATTGAACCAAGCGGCACAAACCTGGCTGGCGATATCAGGATGATCTGCTTTATATTGCTTTAGAAGGTCTGTGGCTTTGTGCTGGAGTCCTCCCTGCTTTAAAGGTAATCATTAAATCAGAATCTTTTAAAGCAGCAATTAACTTACGCAGCAAAGCTAAAGCCGGGTTAATGTCTTGTGATGTTTTTTTATAGACGAATTACTAAATGCATATAGATGTTAAGAGACGACATTAATCCTAAGTATGAGCTCGTTTCTTGGGCTTTAAAATGCGCTGCTAATATCATATGTCCTCCTAGAACTGAGCGCAGACTTTTATTTATTTATTTATTTGTGGTCTGTGTTCCCTGGCAACCAAATGCCAGAGCAGCCGAGGCCCAGCGGTGATGAGGAGGATGCAGTGGGTGTCTGATTTATCTCGTGTCAGCTGATGTTTACTGCTCTTTTATCAGTTCCCGTCATAACTCACACGCCGGATGCTGATATGTGCGCACGAGCTTCCGCCACAAATCTCCCCAATCAAGAAAAGGGTTAATGAAGGCTGCTCCCTGTAAGACTCAGCAGGTGGATTCATTTCTGTTTATTACCGAGACAGGGATGAGTTGTGTTTGTGTGTGTGTGCTGAGCATTGCAATGAATAAAAGACAAGTGAGGAACCTTGTGGTTGGCTGCGAAATCGCTTTACACAAGAGCAGGAAGTGTGGGCCAACATGGCTTTGTTTCAGGATGAGAAATCACACTGTCAGTTATACGGTTGAGCTGTTTGACACAGTTCTCAGCTATGTTTGGAAACCAAAAGGTGCCGAAACACCTGATTGACTGTGAAGTCAATATGAAACTATCAACAAAGTTTATTCATCTATAAAATATTAGCAATGCTTTCTTAGCTCAGAGAAAGTCTCCCTTTTCTCTTCAGATTGACCTTCGTGATGACCCCAAGACCATCGCCAAACTGAATGACATGAAGGAGAAGCCCATCGCCACTGAGCAAGGACAGAAACTGGCAAAGGAGGTCAGTATGTTTATCCTACTGTGGAAATAAAGCGATGCTGCTGATTCGGAGAAGCTTCTATTTTCACTTTCAGCGTTATAGAATTGAGCTGTCAGGTCCAGTTAGATTCCTGCGTGTTGATTTGACCCAAGAATGTCTCTGTAGGAATGTAATTTCTTCAGTGAAATGCTCGGAGTCAGACCTCTGTGCATTCTTTGCCTTAAATGAATCCAGGAATACATTCTGGGTCAACGTGGACATCCAGGGGAGTTCAAGGCTGCAGGACGTAGATACCAAATGTGGTCTGTGATTAATCGCTTCTGTCAGGCAGAAAGGAAGAATAAAAGTCAGCCTTTTAAAAATTACAGTCTAGATTTGTTTTAAAAGTTGGTATCCGTTCAGTTTTGGCAACGTAAAATGAGATTCAGATCGAGATTCTTGTCTCGTGGAGTCATGAAGTTTTCTGAGGCCACAAGGATCCATCTCAGACCATTTCAAGCTATTTGAGCGTCAGCTCACATTAGAGCTGGTTCCTTCAGTGTGAGCAGCGTTTCACCTTGGGTATCATTACCTAACGTTGCTGTCGGAGGTGACCTGTCTCACATAATCCTCGTCAAGATTAGATATCTTGGATGGAAAATGGATAGAATGGGCTCTTTATAAATTTGCTGGAACATGTGAGCAGCCCCAGTTTGTGCCATTGGCCCAAAACCTTCCGAAGATATTTCATGTTGTTTTACGTCTGTATAGTTATTCAGTGTATACGTCAGTTAACTGAAGACCTTTTTACACATTTGCTTTGTATCGTATTCGTAACAATCCTTCTTCATCTAAAATCTAAAAAGCTTTTCATTCTTGGTTCACGTAAATGTTGGTTATGCCGTTCCTTAGACATGATATGAAAAAAGCACAACGTTTGGCATGTGATGAAAGCTGAAAGTTTAATCAAGTCAAGTCACGTTACTGGCATTTATACAGCACGTTTAAGCTAAAGTGATTTAGGGAGGGGCTGCAAGGTGGCACAGTTGGTTAGCACTGTTGCCTCGCAGCAAGAAGGTCGCTAGTTCGCGTCCCGGTGGGGAATCTTTCTGCGTGGAGTCTCCATGTTCTCCCCGTGCAGCGTGGGTTCTCTCCGAGTTCTCCAGCTTCCTTCCACACAGTCCAATAACATGTTGAGGTTAATTGGTGATTCTAAATTGTCCGTAGGTGTGAATGTGAGTGTGCTTGGTTGTCTTTCTTGATTGACTCTCCTGGCATGTTTAGTAGAGTGTTTGTAGTCACTGCTTTCTCTAAGTGTAGCCCTGTGATAGACTGGTGACCTGTCCAGGGTGTCCCCTGCCTTCACCCTAAGTCGGCTGGGATAGACTCCAGCCCCCATGACCCTAGTGAGAATTAAGCGGTGTATAGATGATGGATGGAAGATTGATGCTACCAATTCACCCAACACGTTTTAATATCACAGCTAAGACCCTTCAATATAGTATCTAACACAAAGGAATCTGACTAACTTAAATTTTAACATTTAAAACATAGAGAAGGAGCCAGATGATTATTGTTGATGTACATGTATGGATATTTTGATAAATGAACTTTTCCCTCTATGTTTGGGTCTCCACAAGCAAACAGTAAACATGTGCCTGAAACAACAGCAGTGGTGGATATGCAGGTTTCTTTACGAGGGCTAAGCACTGGCAGTCAAGAGTTAACTTGACATTGCTGCACCACTTCACCAGCATCTGCCTGCATCTGCTGTTCCCAGTGTTACTTGATCCACACTTTAAAGTCTGCAGCAACAATGAAATGACAGAATGACTTTTTTTTTTCTTCTAGTTTTTGACGTATCATTGATGTCGACTCTCCTGGCATGTTTAGTAGAGTGTTTGTAGTCACTGCTGTGTTCTCATATTGTGTAAAAAGAAGGTTGTGTGGACAGATGTTTTGTTTTTTTGTTTTTTTAACTGAGGGGGAAGATATTTGCTGGAAAAACAACCATATTAGTTTGGACAAAGACTCAGACTTGTGCCATGTTGGGTGTGTTAGTTCAGTGTTATAAGAGTGCAAACATCAGGTCATTTCAACGTTTCTGTTGCTGTTCAACTTACAGCAGCATAATAACAGCTAGGTTTGCTTGTTTTGTTGTAAAGGATTAGTAAAACGATGAGCATCCTTAGACTCTCTCTGCTCACGAATCATTAGCAGCTAAAGTCTGTCCTCAGTAATGAGTGAGAGCGTTGTTTGATGCCAAAAGAGCTCCAGTAAGCGAAGCTGCTAAACACTGAGCACATTGGCAGACATTTTTCGACGGTGTCTTAAAGAACATTTTGGAAAATATCATCATTTCTTGTGAAGATGATGTCTGTTTGGTAAACGTGAAGCTGTGAGTTAGCTTAGCACTTAGCATTTAGGAGGCAGATTATGTTTATGTTTAGGGCAGGCTAGCTGTTTCCACCCATAGACTGTATAAAGATGGACGTAGCAACCGGCCCTGAAAAATGAAGCCAACCCGGAAGTGTCAAAAACCTGCAATATCACTACGTCCACTAGTCCTGGCTCCAAAAAGCCCTGGCTCCCATAGACTTGAATTGGAAAAGAAGTGATCACAGATCATGAAATACTGCATTCCTACAGCTCAGGATTTTTTAAAAATTAATTTTCATGGTCAAGTCCAGAGATCAGGTGGCCAATCTGAAAATAAATCAATACTGAATTTTTAAAAAATTGTCAACATTTTGCGGGGCAAGGGGCGTGGCTGGCTTGATTGACAGTCGGCAGCGACCATACAGACGAAGCGAGCAGAAGGGCGGGGCAGAGAGGGCCTGCCTCTCAATCCGTCTGACCAATCGCTGCTCCTATGACTCCGCCCCCCTCCGACGATTTTTGCGTCACTGGCTCCAAAAATCCAAGATGTCAACCAGGAAGTAGCAAAACCCTGGCTTCATTTTCTCAGTGCAGAAACCAACGGGTGACGTCACGGTAGCTACGTCCATCTTTTATACAGTCTATGTTTCCACCTGTACCCAATCTTTATGCTAAGCTAAGCTAACGAGCTGCTGGCTCTACCTTAGTAATTACAGTGCAGACGTAGGAATGGTATAGACCAGCTTATCTAACTACCTACAAGATAGTAAATAACTGTTTGATCTTTAAACAACTACAGCGTTGAGGTGCAGGACTGCTGTGACTTTTGGTCCGTCCTTTCTTTCTCATCAGATTGGTGCATGTTGCTATGTGGAATGTTCAGCGTTGACCCAGAAGGGCCTGAAGACGGTGTTTGATGAGGCCATCATTGCCATCCTGGCTCCCAAGAGAAAGAAGGGATCGCTGAAGAGAAGACTGGGACCCCGCTGCATCAACTGCTGTCTGATCACGTGATACGTAAACCCAGAGATCATTCAGCAAACCAACCACAAACCAAACCTGTACTGAAGGCAAAAGACCGACAAGAGAACAATGCACGGACAGCCGTTAAGACAAGAGAGAGGACTGAAAAAGGACAACAACAAAAAAAAAAGAGCCACTTTAAAGCTGCAGGGCTCTTGAAAGGCCGTAACTCTCTCCTGCTGTCCAACACCGGGGTTGAGGATGCAGTTTACTACCAAAGGAGCACAAAGCCCAAGTCAGTCTCTTCTTCTAAAAGACTTTTGCCTCAAAAGTACCTTCTTTTATAACCATTTTTAATCATGTTTTCTGTACAATGTTGTTGTATGCTGTCATACAGAAAAAACAAAAACAAAAGGACATTTCAGATTTAAGAGAAATGCTACATTTTAAGGAATTCATATTATTTCTATGGTTTGGGAAGATACATTATTGATGTGGGGATTTCAATATCGGATCAGACGTCCAGATGAAGAGAGAAAACCTGCAGCTAATAAATAACGAGAGGCTAATTTAGGTGACACTGTGACGGTGCCCAGGATACATTTCTGGACATAAGGGCCAGGTCTTTTTCATTTAACACTCGTGATAAAAAAAAAAGACCCTGTTGGCCCACAGTCTGTCTCCAATTATTTGTCATTTGAGGACCTGCAAATTAAACCGCACAAGACCTTTGCATTGTGTTCGGGATAACACAAATCATCCAGAGTAGAATGTGGTTCAGATGACAGATTTTGGACCCAGAGCTCTATTATTTTAAAGTTTAAGAGTCTTGATTGTTTGCCTTATGAAAACTCCATTGTTCTATGGTGTGGCATGCCAAAACATACTGTAAGTTTAGATGGGGCCGCGGTCTTCATCAGGAAGTGAAGAGGTTTATTATCCATTTTTAAAAATCTATATTATCCAGAGTATATGATTCTGTATCTCTATCATAGAGAATCCAGTATGTGAAAATGATATTTTATCATCTGAATTACTTTCTTTAGTTTTAAGGGTTTTTTTTGTTATTCTGCAATAATATGTTTATCCTTTTATCACCTTTAAGAAGGTTTTGAAGAGAGAAGAAGACGGAGAGGGATCTCATTTTAGAAATGAAACTCCAGTTTATATCAGCATCCAAAGAATCAAATGCACACACTTTCATCATGATCAGGTGGCTACGATGGCCCAATACTGTACATCTGAGACGCAGCATAAAGCACAGTTGGTGCCACTTCATTTCCCAGCTCAACAAAGCACATTCCTCTGCTTTTAAACACTGTCCCTGTCCCAGATAAGGCTGATTGAAGCACAGAAGATGCACACTGTTCCGTACGGCACAAGGACGAGCATAGCACATCATCTTAACACGCACAATCACAGTCCATTACGTCTCCAGAATTCTGTTCCAAGGCTTCCTTGAACCTCCCAGGCGTCAGTGTTTTAGGAAATACAAAAAAAGACACAGGATGGGTTTGCAGCAAGTTGCACCAGCTGTTCATAACTTATCCTGGTTACAGTTCAAGTCATTACTCATTGGAGTTACTCATCATAATTTAATTTAAGTTGCACCAAAGAAACTTACTCTTGTCACTAAATGAGCTGTTGTCCACTGCAGGAATTTGAGGGCCATTTTAAGGCAGCCTGAACCTTTGTGCACGTTGTAACTTTGGGAAACGCCCCTGTACGACCTCTTTCAGGGCTGTTTTCAGGCAGGGAAACACTACCTACTTTGGGTTGGATGCTTCTGGCCGGCCCTGAAAAACTGCTGTGCTGATGCTGATTGGTTAAACTTGGAAAAGACCAGCATCATTTTTTCAGCCCTTGTTAAGTAGCAGTTTCCTCCTTTTTAATCTCACCATCAGCAGCGTACAGTTCACCATACAGGCCAACATTGCTGTATTTCCTACGTGCTTATCAAATTGGAGTTATTGTTCAGTAACTATTATTCGTCATGGGAGTTAACATGTCCGTCAAAGCTGTTGGATCCTGCACCGTATTAGAAACGGAAAGGTTGAAAGTTCTGATTAGGAGGCCGTACCTATAAACGTCGCTTCCCCAAAGTTCCTGCAATGGAAACCACCAAATATTTACACCAAGTAGCGGGCAGCAGCTGTTGCATCATGTTAAATAAACCAAGTTAATGTTAGCTCCCTAATTCAGCAATTATTCAACAATAACAATAAAAATACTGTCTAAGAACTGTATAAGTTGGGAATATTTTAAATTAAATTACCCCAAAAGCAACACAGTGCCACACAACTTACAAACTGGCTAACAAAATGCAATTTAGCTTAGCATAAACACTGGTACTTAGTTTTACGTAGCCCTCTAGAAGTGTCCTTTTTGGCAGTTATGTTACATTTTTGTAAAAGCAGTTTACACCAGATTTTTAGTGACTGAGACAATGGTGCAACCCAATTCAAGTTTGGACTGGCTTATAGTAACCGCAACTCAGAAGCACAAACTCAGTGATGGTTTCATGAATAGCTGGTGCCACCCGTTCTGTCGTCTTTCATTAGAGTCTGAATCCAAATAATCAGTATATTTTAGGCTATGAGGTCCTCACATGATGTAAAGGGTTCATAGAATGTATGGGATGTTTGACCAACACTCATGTACCAATCCTGTTTTTGTTTTGTTTCTTCTATAAAGATTCAGTGATCCCTGTAATGGAGTCATTGTACGACATTTTAAATAGAAAGTGAGATGATATGTAACCAGGATTTAGAGAATAGTTTAAATATCTACGAGCCCCTAAAACAAGTGTGTATGCAACAAAGGTCTCCAGCCAACAATGTGTGTCGTAGGTGCTGTAGGTAATAACCTGAGGTTGTGACTGAACTTTTCTTGCAAGCCAAACATCCAAAATATCAGCTCTTCTTGTTTTTATGCATTTGTTATTGGCTTTTTCTAACTTTTTTTTTTTTAATCTAATAATCAAAGGTGCCAACTCTTGCTGTTATTTTTCTGTTCAGAGTCAGATATGATGATTGATTAAAGCTTTAATGTAAAAGGTGCTCCTCCTCTCTGTCCCAGCCTGCGTTGTATAACTGTCTTTCTGAGCAGCCGAGACGACTGCAGGGTGAACGGCCTTCTCTCTCGGACAGTTTTGCTTGCTTAACGTTGTGTGAAGGTCCACCCTCAGGATCCAGGACCTAAGTGCCACAGCCACCAATGCATTCTTCCGTTGATGCTCCTCTCTTCTCAATAAATGTGTTTACTGTGTTAATAAGCCGGCTTGGGGGGTTTAACTTGGAGAGCGGCAGGTGTGCATTTGCGAAATTAACTTTTGTGCTGCCTGGAACTAAGACCATTCATGTTCATAATGGGTCAGACATCACTAGGTTGACTTGATAAGCAGGTCAGCAGAAGGTTAATCTGAATGTAAACACACATTTATAATGTTAACACTGTTGTGTTTGCTTTTTTTGTTTTCTGGATCTTTAAAAAGAATTTAATCAATTGATGTTTAAGCTGTTAATGTGAGCTGTGGTCATTTCTGGACCGTTAGCGCCACTTGCTGGATGCACTTTTGTATGGAACTTTCCTTTACCTGTCCGTTGGGAAACAGAAAACATTTCTCATCAAAACTTTAAGCTTTCCTTGGCTTCACATTTATTTAACTGGTTTTAATCACTGGACACAAACTATATATTCACTGCCACAAATCAAAGACAAATTTTTTAGAAACTTTTTTGTGCGCCATATTCTTAAATCTGTGGGACTGCTGCTTAATAAGTTTACATTCATGTCTTTCCAGTTAGAATACAGTTGTTTGACTTCTGATAGATGATTGTACTTGATGTTATTATATGATCACACTGCAGACGTGTTTGCTCAACAGATGAGGCTACTGAAATCAAGCGTGTCAGTGGAATGAAGTTCATTCCACCCTGTGACCTCGGCTCGCATCGTGCTGCTCTTGATTATCTACACTGATGTCACAGGACCTGTTGGCGCTTCGCATCCGCTGTGAGATCACTTAGAATTGATGCACATGTTGATCAGATGCCTGTTTTGTTGGGAAATTGCGGAGTTATTTTAATAATTTGAGATCTTTGTCTGCCAGAACAGTTAGTCTCCCATCACATGGAAAAGATTTACCACTGTTATAAAACAAATCAAACTATTGTGCTGAAGTCACGCAAGTGCAAGAAAAAAAATTCGTACAAGATGACTCAGGGAAGCCCCGAACATTGCACATTAATCTTCACACGATACCCAGAGAAGCAGAGACGCCCAAGTCCCGAAATGTACACCAAACACATCCAAATAGAACTTCTTGATAGACACAGAAAAATCCTGGATTACAGGTGTAACTATTTCAGATTTTCTCATGTTAAAAGACACTTCCTGTCCCCATTACAACATTCAGCTTTTGGATTTTCATCCATGTCAGTCAACTTTTTTGTGATCTTACTTCAGCTGATACCAGTAATTCATATAAAAAAGAAGAAGAAGAAGAATATGAATCTATTAATATGAGGTAATAATAAAAAAGATCCAAAAGCAGCGATTGAGCCTGGAGTAAAGGTAAAGAGACTTATTGGGACCAAGAGAACAGGGGAGGGAGCTGGATGGCTGGCAGAGGCATGGAGAGTCTTGTCTGAGAGCTGGAGGAGATGTGGGCTTGAGCAGGGGAGGCAGTCTTGGTGGTTGAAATCCTTTATTTTTAGAGGAGTGGCACTCGGCGGCAGTGAACACAAGTGGTCCTGGGAGACTCAGCCGATGCGCGGTTGTTCTTGGTTAGCTGACAATCTGAGAACAGTGACTGGAACCCGGTCAACGTCTGGATCCAGATCAGGTGAGCTTGATTATGAAATATTCATGTGTCACCATCAAGACCTGGTGTGTCATGCCATCATGGCAGGATCTAAAGAGAAAAAAAGTCTATGATTCTTGCAAAGATCTCCTAAATTATTAAAGATAAGTCATTCCAATGTGAGGAGAATTATCTACAAATGGTGCCGATTTCATACAACTACCAGTTTGTCCAGCAGTGTGTCTAATATTTTTTTTTAAAAAAGGAGTCTCCAGAACTCCCAAAATTCAGTCACAGGATTTGTATGCAACTCTTTCTCCTTCGTCTACAATCAGAAAGAGATTGTCCCTTTATCTTCTTCACATTGAATGGACTGATCTGCAATGTTAGGAAGGAACTTTATGTAATTCAGATGGATAAATCTAGCTACTGACTGTATGCTGTAAAAGTTTGAACCTGCTATTCGTTGTTAATGTTTGAGACTATGAAAATTAGATAGTCTTATGAAACAATCTTGTGAAATAGCGTTTTATAGAGGTCTAAGGTTGTTAATGCACGTGTGATTCAAAACATGTCTGGCCACAGCCTCATATCAGCAGGTCATATACAAAAGAATTAAACGTGTTGGTTCCTAATATTCTGGACAGATGCCACATTTTCTTGTCCCAACTTTAAACCCCACATGCTACAGAGTGCATCTTGGAGAATGAGATTAAATACGCACGCTGAGTTAGAGCCGATCAGTATCAGCTGACTGTTACAGCGACTAATCATATTGAAACAATCAACAACAGTGTCCAATGAGGACAGTCAGGAGATGTTCCTCACCAACACTCTGCTGGTCATTTTGTCTGCTCCAACCTGCCCGATACTTCGATTGAATTCTTCCACCTCAGCTTCTCCTGTTCTCCTTTCTTATTCCCACGTATGATGGAAGCATCTCTTGCTTTTGTGCATTTTGTGCCTCTCAATAGCATGTGTTGGATTCTGAGGGCCAGGTGGTGGGTTTATTGTGTTGTTGCTGCTGCTTCCTGGACAAACTGGGAAGTCAGAGAGCTTATTCTGGAAAATGAACGGGTATAAGTAATTGCCCTCACACAGACCTCCCTTTGCTGGAGTAGCTTGTATCTGGAGCAGATGAGGCTACATTTTGTTGCGATGGCAGTTGTAGGACCAGGTTTCTAGGACCCTTGTTTCTCATTGGACCGAGCTCGTTTTTGAGTGGAACAAACCTTTAAACATTTGTTAGTTAGAGAATACTATGAAGGTGGAATGAACCTTTAATACAATAAGTCGCATACTTTCGCAATCATCTATGATAGCTTTGCTCTGTCAGGTGTGAAACTGTCTTTAGCAAACTTGTATAACACCCATATCAGTCTAATATAGAATACAAATACTAAATCTAACTGCAAGTGCTCTTTCTCATTCCACGCTCAGATTTGTCCTGCTGGTCATGTGATGCAGTCTGCTTCCTGGTATCCTTTTTTAACCTGTGAGGCACGAGTTTTTCGATCTGATTCGATCTTTACCAGCTGCGTCTCTTTAACAGCAAAGTGCTCTACTATGTTCACTGACTAGTCACTAATTTTGTCCATTTGTTGTTTTTCCAGTTGCCACCCTCATGTAGTGAAACCCAGTGCATCAGATTTCAAGTGTGCCTGTCTGGAGGAACCTGAGCAAGGCAAAAAACAAATGACTCCCGTCTTTCCTCGCTCCCAAGGGTGACAGGTGCCACGGCAGATTTACAGTCCAAACACAACGGATTACTTCATCAGTTGTGGTATGTTAGGCGTTGAGGTGAGTATTAAAGTAAACTAAAGCCGCAAGCGGCGATGGACGAGTCCTCGCCGTGCGCTTGTTGGCCTTCACGCACGTCTTAGTGTGGTGCAAATGTGCTCCGGGCAGGACTGTGATCCGGCGTGTTGAGTTTGGGGCAGATCGGAGCACGTGCGGCCTAGTTACGAGCCACTTCCTGTTTAGTGGCGAGCCGCGGCGGCATGCGTGTTGGCCATGGCGGCAATGCGCTCTGGCTGAGACTTGGAGCACGCGTGTAAAGTTGCAGGCCGATCGGAGCACAGACAGGCCAGTTACACAGCACGTCTCCTATTCTGGTGTTTTATGGTGTTGTGCCATTTCCACGGCAGCAGAATTGTGCAGACCGTTTTACTAACATTGAATCACCACCTCCTGTAGTTTGTGCTGGCCAACTTTCAGGAGTGTATGACCTTTCCTGTAGGAGGAGACAGATTTTTGAAAATAGCTGAAAATTGCCAAAAATGACTGAAAATCGCCAAAATTCTCAAAATTCAAAATGGTGGACTTCCTGTTGGGTTTAGGGCTTGGCACTGAGTGACTTTTTTGTGCATCCTAATCTGCTACACATGCCCACCGAATTTTGTAGCTATAGGTGAAACAGCCTTCTGACAGGACAATGCCAGAAACGCAGCAAAAATGGACAAAATGACCATTGATCGAAATTGCACGGGCCGTCATTTCCAAGCCGGGCATCATCTGCGAAGTGTTTGAAGAACTTTTAATCACCACTTTTAATCAAACGTAGCCCCAATGGGACTCTGCTGAAATATTGTAGGGGGCGCAGTTGAGCCATGTTGCATTTTAGAGCTTGGTCCTGATGGACTTTTTTGTTCGTGCCGACCAGCTCTACATGCCTATGAAATTGTGTAGCTCTAGGTCAAACGTGCTTCCAACAGGACTCCGTTGAAATTTTCAAGGTGGCACTGTGGAGCCATTTTTCCATTGAGGTCTGTATTTCCACCAAATCATAAAATTTTTCGCCAGGTCTGATGTACGTGTGAAGTTTGGTGCAGTTTCGAGTACGTTTAGGGCCTCAAAACGGCCTTCTTTGTAACGAAAAATAATAATTTAAAAAAACGAGGAGTTCCAATCGGGTCTTTGGACCCTAATTAAAGTAATACAGTTAAGTTACCTGTGACCTAAGAAAATAAAAGAAAATACAGGCATCGTACATGTCTCCTTTACTTAAAAAACAGAAAGTATGTCGATGTAAAGGGGCTTCACACCCCTACAACTCTCAGGATTGATCTACATGATCCACCGTGAGGGTCGAGCTAATGCCACTACAATGAGGATCAGTTGACAGCCCCCATCCTGTTCCAGATGAGATCAAACCTCACCCCCCTGCCCGTTCTGTGCTTTAAAGGGACGTTGCTATCTACCCACATCACGTCTGGGTTCACCTCCAGTCCATTCATCAGAACGAACCAGCACAGCAGTCAGTCAGGTCTAAAGTCACATGATACACTGACGGACCTGCAGGCTGGTTTCTGAGACTTTTTATTTATTTATTTGACCATGATCGTAACAATAATACTGACCCAAACCAAACTTCAGTGATAAAAAATAAATGAATCTCTCTAAATTGCCAGGTTGTGAACCAAAACGATATTTTTGTGATGTGCACATATTTGATGACTCTGCTGAAGTGT